CTGAGGGCGTGGGTACATTTGATAGAGCATCTACCACAACGTTAGCCTGAGAACCCTCCGAAATAAAGAGCCTTGATGCAACCCCTAGTGCTGCTGAAAGCTCCCCCAACGGAACAGTTCTAGGAAGATTCGCACCCCAATCTAGACTTTAGCATGATATGGATTTAGAGAGGAGGGGAAGAGACCACAACTGTAAAAAGTAACGTACTGAGTCAACATTTCTATTCTCTGAATCTGATAATTCAACCAAGGCAGTTGCATGTAGTTATCAGTTGCACAGCTGTTATCTTATGGACCAAGATGGAAACGTTTGTAGAGTCTACTGAAAAATCAACACACCCTAGTCCAACAGAACAGCAAGTCAAGCACACAAAATAATGGGGCTTTGACCCCCCACTATTTACAGCATTAGGCATTTATGCAAGATCACTTGAGATACTTGGGTACCAGTGGTACAAATTGTTAAAGCTAGCTGGCTAAAGCAACTGAGGACCTATTGGATTAGGACTGGAAAGGATTTACAGTGGCCAGGCAACTAACGAAGTGAAATCATGAAAAATGCCTGGTCTTCAAGCATATTGGCAGGGTTTTTGCCAGTGGAGACCAGTTGATCAGGAGACAGTTGATCACAGGGTTGACTCCAGCATGACCAAGCCTAATCCCTTAGACAGCCAAATCATACAACATGGGCAAGAATAACCTCAACCTCTCAGCAGAAGAGCTTGTACCCAAAACATCAGAGCTTCCAGATAGTCAGGCAGAGTGGGGGGATGTTTGCTTCTTCCTTTCCTGTTTAATTTGTAGATCAACAATATAGCAGACCCGTTGACAACAGTGTGTGTCATTCCTGTAGTTTGTCTCACATGCTCTTCTGTTTTAGGCTAGCACAACAAACCTGTTCCTTTTGCTCTTCAATATCACAGGAACGAGGGGATGGTGAGAAATAATTCGCAATGTGTTTCCTGCATGGATCCAGCAGCCAGTTTGACCTATCTTATCAGATTGCTGCTTTGTGTAACCCTTTTCTATAGAAAAAGCCCTTTCAAGGAAAGTTGGGTTTGCTCCGGTTTGGCACCCTGGGGCTAAACACCCGCTCCATCTGAGTCCTTTTTTGGGAAGCTTCTCCTGAAGGCGGTGGGTGGCATTATGGGGTGCAAAAGTGCATCTTTAGACTGATCTTTCCAGAGACTACACAGCTCTGCTGACTCCCAAGCTCCTTGGCTTTCAGGAAGAGAGAAAATTACAGATCACCGCAGTTACCAAGACAAGTTGTTCCCCTTTGACGTTTGTTTGGAGCCAAAAAAAAAGGAAAAAAAAATGCTAAAGATAGAACAAACATATGTGCAGCTCGGGCACGGTTCAATCATTTCTTGTGTTTTACTAAGAAAAACCAGCAGCTCCACTCTTGCTATTACCCCATCTCCAAAGCTTGTGCCATTTCCAAGTCCTAAATGCTCTGGTGCTGTGCATGCCTCTTTGCAGTCATATTTAAATAAATATGGAAAAGCTTTTTTTTTTTACTTCTTCTAAGCTAGCATTTCCATGGATTTCCACCTTTAAATTAGCAGATAACAGTACAAGTCTAGCATAACCTTCAGGAAAAAAGAGTGCATATAATTCTATTTAAAACCACTCAGGACTGTCTGAAAGCAAGTGCACCCTGAGCTTCAGCTCTGTAAGCAGGACATGCTAGGGCAGGCAATGAATATAGGGATTCATCATATATGTTTAGGAACGGTCTTCCCAATCTCTATGCTTTAGCATGCAACATGCTGGTGACAGGCCTGCACTCAGCAGCACTGGGATGACAACAGTGCCTGCATCCCCATGCAAGCGAGTATGGCCAGGAGCCTCTCCAGGGACTAAAAATAAATTTAAAAATGCTATTTTGAAAAATGAGATGTTCTCTCAAAATCAGGTCAGTCCATTTCTTTTGCTTTTCCAACTGCAGAGACTGTTTGGGGATTATTTGCTTTAAGCCAGGTATGTCAGAAAAGGACACTTCCAAAAAAAACAACAGTTTTCTACATTCAGAGAAATTTACACTTCTGCCGTAAACCCTGCAAGAGCAAACAGGGAACTTGCAACACGGCATTTTGCCTGGGGATCCCCACCACACACTGCCACCATGACACATGTTTTTAGAGGACGTTGGCCTATTTTACAATCTGATAACTATTTTCTTTGGACATTCGTGCATGTGCTCAACTTCCCAAGGTGGAGCAAAGCAAGGGGCTTCGCTCTGAGCATGAGGGTTTCTAGTTCTCTAAAGAGTATTTGCCAAACCGAGAAAGACTCGCTATTGAAAACTCTCCTGCCAACTTCATGGCATCAAAATGGGGTGTTTTGCATGTGTCTGCAGAACTAATTTGGTTAATAAACTGTTTGCTAGCTTGCTGGCATGACAAGGGGGACACCAATTTGGAGACCGCAGCCAGGACGGTGCCACCCAAAGCAAGAGTGGTCCTGGGGCAGGAGCCACCCACCACAGGAGCCAGCAGAGCTTGACCCAAAGAAGCTGCCTCGCTTTAAAGAAAGGAAAAGACAAACGCTACTTCCAAATCACAGCTCCCCCCGTCTCCTTCCTCATCCACCTGGGCGAAGCTGAAGGAACAGTCGGCACTGTGGCGGGTAGTAACATCACACCCCATGTATAAGGCCTCATCTTCATCAAACAAACTCGAGGTTAGGGGACTATAAATACAAATGTGGCCTACAAGGCCAGGTCCTGGCGGCCGAGGCGCCGGAGCTGCACTGTCCGCGAGCAGTGAGCTTGGCTCCCCGTAAGCTCTGGGGCTGGAGGGACCAGGTATTATGTGGGACTGGGCTGGGATTTCTCTAGCTGGATGGAGCTGAGCTGGCCAGGCCGCAGTGGCCGCCCCTTCAGCCTGAGTCCACGGTGAAGAGCTGGATGTCGCGGGGGTTCCAGTACAGGGCCACGGCCGAGTTGTAAACCAAGGACCAGACGTAGGGGATGAAGAACTCCTCCGGCTGCTCCTCTTCCACGTACTTGAACTTCAGCTCAGGAAATTTCTGCAATGAGAAACAAGAGCCCATTGAGGGGAGGTTTGCAAACACGCAGCCCACACAGATGCTGGAGAAAAAAAAATAATGCAAGGAACTGAACTATTAGACTTGCAAGAAAACATTGACCATGAAGGATAAAGGGATTATTTATAATTCCACCTTTGAGCCGGATGCTACACTAGCACATTGCGTTTTGCCCTTTGGCTGTTGGTCACACTTCTTACCCCTGGATTCGCCCTCGATTTGTCTGTCAGTGCAGACTGAAAACATGAATCCTTTACAAAGGTCTTAAGGAAAACTTATTTACAGCAGCCCTGCTACAGCTTTCTTGCTTGTGCACATACAGACCTGCTTATTTCAGTCCTCTTTAAAAAGGATTCTGCGGTGAATTGCACTCAGCTCCCCAGGAGGAGACTCCTTTGGAAAGGTCCTGAACACATACACAGTTTGCAACGTGTTTTCAAGAAAGCACAATGTAACAGCAAACTCTTTTTTTTTCTTTTTTTTTCTCTTATTTCTCCTTGACTTTCTCAATATAGACGTTTCCAGGACAGAAGGGCTCTTTTCTCAGGAAGCAAGATGGAAGCGTGGCCAGACTCGTGGGTGGGTTCTGGGAGATGCTATTTGCAGCTTTGCTTACAGGTTCCTCCGCAGCTTGGGTCCGTGTTTTGGGGCAGAGCTGAACCTATTTTTACATCGAGCTATTCAATCATATCGCCTGCTTCTAAATGTTGCCTGTGTCAAGAGCTTGGCAGAGCCTCAAAGAAAAGCTGCATTACAATGATCACCAGGGTAAGATAAAACATGGCCCATTTTATTATTTATAAGGCTGTGGCTAAGACTAAGAATAAACTTGCCGGTGTGACATGATCAGAACAAGCGCGGCACTGGCTGAGAAGCCTCTCTGCCCATTAATAATGGAGGGAAACCCTATCACCTTCCCGCATTCACTGTGCTCCTTTTCCCTGGGCCGGGGTACAAAACCCTTCTAAGGGGCATTTTGGGGCCACTTGGCTTTATGGGTAACTCCTTTAACTTTTGCACACCCAGCCTATTTGTATTCGTGGGTGCATCACTGAGTTTCGCTTCCTCAGTGTGACACACTGAGTCTGTGGCACAGAAGTTCTCCCATGACTCTTGTGTGTCCCCAAGCCATTCTCCTCTATGACCTCTCTCCCGCTGTCTGTTCTGACCATCCTGTTCAATCTTCCACACCATTTGCTTCCTCAGTCTTAGTTCCCCACCAAACACCCTCAATTCCAATTTCCCCTCTCCTAGTCTACTCCCTTCCCCAGCTCCATGGTCTCTCTTTATCACATCTTCTATTTTGCACTCACCCACATTTTCTTTTTCCTCACTCCTACATGCAAAATTCTTCCCCTCCCATTTCACCTTTCTTTTCATTAAGCACCCTCTCTTTTACCTATCACATCCCCAACCTCATTGCCCTTGCTGGGTTTCTTCTCGGGTGATCCTCCTGGGGAAAGCACCTTGAAGATCCCTAAAAGTATTTTGCCACTTACTTCAGCTCTCCTCATCATCCCATCCCGAGGCTCCTGCTAGGACTTTTCTGACTTGTGAGATCCTCCTCTTTACTGATATTCTCTGTTCCTTTCCCTTTTGGCTTTCCAATTTCCAAGCCATTCTGCCTTAGCCCCCTGCCACTCCAGCCCTCCTCTCAGGGCACTGGGATTACTTTGGCAAGTTCAGCCTCACCCCAATCCAGACCTTGTGTGTTATATATAGATATTCTATAAATATATATATATATATATAAATACATATATGTATTATTTTTCTTTAAACTGATATCCTACCTCGCTTATCCGTAATGTAATTCTCCCCACTTCCCTCCTAAATGCTTCCTGACTTGTGGTCAGCGTAGACAGAAACGTGTTCAGTTCAGCCTTGCATCAGCAGAATGAATGGTTAAACCTCACAATTAAACCACTGTAACATTTCCTAGCAGAGAAAAGCCCTTACACAGCTGTCATTCTTCACCCTAAAGGCGGCTGCACGCCAGTACTGCAGCATGGAGCTGCTCTCTTCAGAGATTGAAGGGAAAAAAAGTGATTAAAGATGCTAATTGCAGAGGAATTAGGCACTGATAACTTTTTTTTTTTTACCTTCACAGCCATAGCTTATTACTACTGGTTTTGCAAACACTCGTGCCTCCAGTCCGAGACCACTTTGGACTTTTATGCAGCTTAATAAATATCATCTTTAGCTTTAAAGCAGTAAGTAAAATTGTTTTATTAGAAATTCCAGTAGCTACATCAGAGGTGCTCAGCTCTTACCATGCCATCGTCTCTCTGCCTGAAGGGTTGCATAAAATAAGCTAGATGATAGCTTCAGTATGTTCAGGCAATAATTGTCATGTATTGATTTTATTATTATGCTTTTCTTCAGACTGATCAATGTTGCCATCTCTCGTAATCACACTGTAGTGATTTAATAATCAATGTCCAATTAACGATAGTCAATCACTGCAATCACCTTAGACTTAATCCCAGTCAGTGTTTGTCTTGATTGTGTTGCAGGTTGGGAACATACAAAGGATAACAAGATTTTAAGGAGAGAGATAAGAGGAAGATGAATGACAAAGAATAATCTTAAAATTGTCACATTCAAACCACCTCAAAATGTTTCTGACTTACTGGACTGACTTTAAAACACTTTAGACCAGCAAGCATTAAGCACCATGCGAAAAGTTTCACCAATGACATGAAGCTTTAATATTTTTGACATATGGTAGGTCAAGGCAAGTTGAAACACAGCTCTGTGCCATTTCCCTTTGGCATGTGCTGCTTCCAAACGAGCAAACTGAAGTGCTTGCCTGTGCTGCAGATGTGCAGGAAGTTACACTGCATCAATGTTTCAGCAGAGCTGTGAAACAACCAGGTCACAGGACCCTCAGAGCACTCCTGGAAAACACAGGGGACAGCACCAGGGACATGTTCATGCTTTTGGTTTGGGTTTTCCTTTTTCCTTTCCTTTTTTTCCCCACTAAATACCACAGCTAACAAAATTCCCCAAATTGCAAGTCAAAGCAGCAGTAAAGGGCTCCAGTGGAGCCATTCTTTGCATTTGGACCCAGCCATGGCCTGAGCAGAGCTACCTCCAGCTAGTTTCCAACAAATCTCCCCAAGACCTATGCTTGCTTGATGCTTCAGAGCCCAACGTAGCGCTAGGATTGAACGGCAGACTTTAAATAGATGACGCTTATCAGCTCCGGTGAATCCCCTACCACAACAACCTACCTTGTTTTCTTCTGCCAGACAAAGATTCAGATTTAGTGGTTCGGACAGAGGTAGAAAACTAGACAGACCAAAACCTTTGCAGACTGAACTGTCAATCATATGGTTCAATGAAAAACCACAGGAAGTCTGATGAACAGATGTAGAGCTGAACTGCAATAACTACCACCACAAGAGTTCAACAACATCGTTTTTTCTTCTTGTTTCAGTTAATGATTAGGGAGATTGCATCACGACCAGCCAGCAGCACCTGGCACAACTCCAGGCAGTCCGGTGGCATTAAAGCTCAACTGCTTTATCTGTACATTGAGAAAAACATGAACCCTTCCATCACAAATTAAACATTAGAGCTGCTGTGAGGCTGCAATGTCATGTCAATGGATGGTCTCCAGTCCATGATAACACATAAGCAATGGGGATGGAGCAGCTTAGAGAGACATTTCTGAGGTCATCTGTGTTTTCGCTTTTCAGTGATCTAGATATTTTACCTAATCAAAGAAATGGGATGGTTGGTATGGAAAAGAATGAAAACTTTGTACTAACAAATAGAGAGGGACTCGTTGGTGACGTGAAGGTGGGGGGTAGCCTCAGGTGCAGTGACCATGAGTTGGTGGAGTTCAGGATCCAACGAGGAGGAGGCAGGGCTGTAAGTAGCCTTGCAACGATGGACTTCAGGAGGGCCAAATTTGGCCTCTTCAGAGACCTCCTCAGAAGAATCCCATGGGATAGAGCTCTAGAAGGTAGGGGGGCCCAAGAGAGCTGGTTAGTTTTCAAGCGGCACTTCCTCCACGCCCAGCAACAGTGCATCCCTGTGTGTAAGAAGTCAGGCAGAGGGGGCAGGAGACCTGCGTGGATGAGCAAGGAGCTTGTGGCAATGCTCAAGCAGAAGGCGGCGGTATACAGAATGTGGAAAAAAGGGCAGGCCCCCTGGGAGAAATACAGGAACGTA